GGGACGTAGATTTTGATAGTGAAGGTCAGAAAAAGACACTGTGATTTCCTGAGCCTGTGGACCTATATCTGTGACCTCACAACCCCACTGAGAACACTTCGTTCACAAGGTATACTCCAGCTGGGAAGTGACAGTTTTCTGATGAGGGTGTGGCTGAATGTCTGAGGTCCCTGGCTGGGATTCAAGGGCTTAATTTAGCCATTGCACCAAATACAATTGCATGAGTTGGGGCCAGGCGTGGTGGCTCATGCCTGTAGTCCTTGCACTTTGGGAGACTGAGGTGGGCAGATCACTTAAGCCCAGGAGTTTGAGACCAGCCTGGGCAACATGGCAAAAATATAAAAATTAGCCAGCCATGGAGATGCATGCCTGTAATCTCAGTTACTTGGGAGGCTGAAGTGGGAGGATCACTTGAGCCTAGGAGGTTGAGGCTGCAGTGAGTTGTGGCTGCATCATTGCACTCCAGCCTGGGTGACAGAGTGACACCCTGTCTCCAAAATAAATAAATAAAATAAAGTAAATAGAGTGAGTGGGGCTGAGGGAGGGTATGGTGAGATGTCAGAGGAATGGGCTTGTTTCTGCTGAGTGTGGGAATTAGATTGGGGTAAGGCCTGCAGCGGGCCCCACCTGAGCAGGGTGTTGGGCCCTGTGCAGTCCTCCTGGGGGATGCTGTATCCAACCTCATGACCCAAGGTCAGGTCCATCTCATCAGCAACCCGCAGAGCCAGGCTCCGGGCTGCAAGAGGGTAGGGCTGCGTGACCGTAACCTGTCCTTTCTGGAACCCTCTGGCCAGCGCAAACTCTGCACACCACTGAGGAATCTGGGATAGAGGTAGAGGACAACCAGTGAGAAAGATGTAGGATTTCAGTCAGAAGTGCTCAGGGAACTATGGCCACTTTAATTTTTCCTTATTTGGGGAGTCTCCTGGTCTTTTACCAGCCTCCTGAGCCAGCTTAACCCATCCCATCTCTCTTTCCTCACCCTTCCCATGACCCCACACAGCCCAGTCCTCCCTTGCCCAGGGAAAGGCCAATTCCCTAGCTAGCTCCTCCCTTTGTCCACTCCCAGAATCTGCCCACCCCCACAACCCAGCCACACCTGGGTGCTCTTGCCAGAACCAGGCTCCCCAGATACCAGCACCACTCCAGTGGGGTTACTCTCCAACTGCTCCAAGAAGGTAAAGCGAGCAGCCCAGATGGGCAAGGCTTGGCGCTGTTCCAGCAGCTCATAGTAGCGGGAGGAGAAGGGAAGCCCATCAAAGGGGTTCACAGCCAGTTCAGACTCCCTAGGACTTGGGCCATACTCTTCTGCCAGCCTCAGAGGCTGAGAGGCCATGGTGGCTCTCTGGCAGGACCTGCAGAAGTCAGGGCAGCCAGTAAGGTCATATTTGGTGACTGATATCCCACCTCAGCCCTGATCCTTAACTTCTACCTTCAGGTGATCATGCTCTGGGGCCCAACTGTCCCAGTGTTTCCTGCCAGGAAACAGTGCTAGGCATTTTGATAAGGGGCTATTGAGAGTTAGTAGACAGTCCCTGTAGTCAGGTAGTAGAAATCTACCTGATGCTATTACCCTGTCAGCAGGTAATAGAAATCATGTTACTTAGGCAGGGGTCCTCAGGGGCAGTAGAAATTATGTGAGACCTAGTAACCTATGGGAAGGTACTGGAGGAAAAAGGATAAAGAATATAGGGGGCAGGGAAAGGAACAGCAGAGTCACAGAGATCCTGGATTCAAACCTGGTTGCAGCTCTAGGATACGTCAGGACAGCAGCCCGCTCCAGACCCTTGTAGCTAGTCACCACAAACCCTGACTGTGTTAAGTACAAAGGTGAATTCCAGCTCTACCCCAAGGCTTGGCTCAAACTTCATATCCTGAAACCTGTTTTTGGGTGGGGCTATTTGCTCCACCCTAATTAACTTAGTCAGGAACCTATGGAAAGCAGGCTACCACCATACTGAGCATGTGTGAACTCTATAGATGATGTGTACTGTGCTTGTAAAAGGCATGCTGGGATTTGTAGTTTTGCAGCAGCTTCTTCCAAAACCTGGGCTGAACACCCACGCTGGGTCTTCAGTTCAGTTACACTTCCTTAATTTATCACTCATCCCTTGGCATGAGGAGGTGATTTTAGACAGTTGTAGTCTGACTACCCCCCTTAAATGTACAAGGAGACTCTCACCCCCATCCTTCCCAGCCAAGGAATAAGGAACCCACTCCCAGCGCTTTTGAGACCCAGAGAGACAACAGACACCTTGAATGAAAACCATGAATTTAATGTGATATTGGGGGAGCCTCATCCTTCCCTTTTTACAACCCACCAACTCAACCAGCCTGTTGTGAGTTGGGTGAGGGCTGCCCCCAGTCTCCGTCCTGCGGCTCTGGGTGCCATCCTGTTCCTTTGAGTTCAGTCAGCCTCCTGGGCTTGTCTCTCTGTGAATCTCCTGTGGGGCATAGGGAAAGACATTATTCAGGTTTTGCCATAGTTGCTCTATAACTTCATTCTCCAATTTTCCCCATCCTATTCATTGTCCTCTAACCCCCTCACCTTCTTGCATATTCATATAGTGCTTGCTTTCGCTCCTGCAGGCTCTCCTGCCGGGCCCAGGAAGACTTGGCAAATGTTAGGACTGTTGGCTGAGGGGTCACCAGGCCAGAGCTGGGGAACTGAGGTGATCACAATGTCAGAGGGCTTGCGGAGTCATCATGATTAAACATGCATCGAATGCCTACTTTGCAAGAGAGGCACTATGCTAGGGTCTCAGGATCAAAAATGAAAAATCAGGGATAAGGGAGTAGGTAGCCTGCCCCCAACTCACCCCAAGTCTTGGACCTGACCATTTTCTAGGTCTCACCTTGGAGGCAGAGGCTGTGGGTAGGGACTGAGTTCCCTGGGTGATGTCTTCAGGCATGAAAGCTACGGCTCCCTCAAGCAGATTAGTGATAGTCAAGTCTACACAGCCAGTCTTGGCTGGGGGGAAAAGAGAAGGGAGTCTACTCCCTGTTCACTTTCTTCCTTCACAACCCACTTTTCCTCCCTGTGCCCATCTCCCTGTGTAGAGCCACCCTTTCCCATACCCAGGTCTCTCTGGATGACACCCAATGGCACATGGGGCAAAACTTCTTTGACTCTCTGAGCCAGAGTTGCCAGCTGCATATCAGGAGAAGGACCAGGGGAGGGAGGGAAAGAAGACTGGGCTGTGGAAAAAGAAAAAAAAGAAAAGAAATTTTGTTAAGTAGAGAACTCAGAGAAGGAGAGGCTAACTAGCACAGGAATAGGGGAGGAATCACAGTAGGCTGGGAAAAAAAAAAAACAACAAAAAAACCAAAAGGTGTATGTATAGAGACCACATACCTGACTGGGGGCGCAATCTGGGGTGTCTTTGTCGCTTCATGTGCTCTGCTTTGTCTGCTGGAGTGAGCCGTGTCCCTGTCTGGCCCAATTCCTTGGCCACCAGCTAGGGAGAATTGGAAAAGTGGAAGTGTCAAGATCTCAAGCTTTCCTCCCCCTTCTCCTAAGCAGGGACCACATCTCCACCCTGCCTGTATATCCAACCACCTGTTGTACACGGAGTGCAAACTCCTCATTCTCTTCCCCTAGTTGGCGATGAACAGGACGAAGCCACCTGCAAAAAACAATCCAGGGCTATGTTGTGGGCACCCAGGGTAAAGGTTGTCACTGCTCCCCACTTTGGTACCTCTTTGCATGGTGAGGGTGGGAAAATAGTATATACTTTTTGTTGCCTTTGTGGTACAACCTTGATATTAAAAGATCTACAAATGGACAGGGCAGAGGCCACTACTTCCTTGACCTTGAGATGAGCCTCTCCCCAGTGATCAAAATATGAGGGCAGTTAATACCTTACTTGATACACCGTGAAAGGGACGAAAAGTGACCACAGCAGTTCTGAGACCCAGGAGGCATCTGACACCGTCTGAGGGGAGGGCATGAAGTGAGGCCTGAGCCAGGGCCTGGAATGGGAATGTTTCCCTCCAAGCCCCAGAGATTCCCTGTTCAACGCACACTCACCACAGAGACCAGGGGTCTCTGAACTTGCAGGGTAAGAGGTTGTACCACATCCTGGATAGAAAATGGCCAGGAACTAGAAGAGGAAGGAGAAAGTAGGATGGGAATCCAGCCAGCCTAGTCAGTAGCTCATACCTGCCTTAAAACAGGCAACTGTCAAACTCTACAAGTAGATAATTGAAGAATGAAGGGATTCAGAAGAAAGAAAAGTAGACAGAAAGGAAATGAACTAGAGATGTTGGGGGCTAAGGGCTGAAGAAGGTTGTAAAAACTCAAGGGCCCACAAGCTTGACCACCCGATACCTGTGCTAAACCCACCTGAAACGCAGGAGCCCCTCCCGGCCATTGGTGGCCTCTTCCTCAGGGAATAGCAGCAGAGGGGTGGGGGGAAGCCTCGTGGAAGCACAGAATCTCTTGAGTGACTCCACCAACTCCCCCCGCCCATCCATCTCCATGAAGCCCCGAGACCAGCACACAAAGCTGGGGGGACTATTGAGTAGAGGCTGGGAACCAGGAGAAGAGAAAGCAAGATGAAAAAAAATTGAGGAAAATGAGAAAAACTGACATGTGGGGTGGAGAATCAGGGTTAGGGTAAGGGTCAATATCCTCCATGGGGAACGCGAATGGGGACTGGGGGCCTTCAGCTGGGCCCCAGGGAACCGCCCCGTGGCGCTCTCGGCCTCGCTCTCACTCACGGTGCTACAGGTGGTGAGCAGATTGACTATGTTGTGGTCGAAAGGTGTCACGTGGTTGGAAATGAGAACCCTGACGCTGTGATCCCGGAGTCCAGGGTCCTCCTGCCGGGCCACGAGCCCCAGCAGCGCACACATGGTCCGCACTACGAACCTGGGGACACAGGAGGTGGTGATTGTGTGTCTTCGGGCCAGGCCCAGCCCTGACACTACCCAAACGCCTGCGTCGGAACCTGCGAAGGACGCTGTCTGGCAGCGCGCAGCTGACCAGGAAGACGTGGATCCCGAGAAAGAGGCGCAGGACGAGGAGGCAAAACCCGACCGGCGCGTAGAGCAGCAGTGCTAGCAGCAGAAAGCCGTCACCCGGGAGCCTGGGGGCGAGAGGCGAAGTGATCGGGCACCGAAGGCCAAGAAGATGCGAGGATCGGCCTCTTCCCGCCGGGGCTCTTACCGGTGAGAGTCAAAGAGCCTCTCCGGCCCCGGCGCTGAGGGAAGCTCCATAACTGCAGCTTCAGGAGCGCCCGGCCGTCGCTGCCGCCATCTTCGCGCCTGGCCGCAAGGGCTCCTGGGAAGGCGGAGTCTTTGGGCATTCGCCCGGGGTGACTGGACCTGAAGTCCTGAGGCGCCCCGGAAGGGCTAGAAGTCCCAGCATGCCCCGCAGCCCCTTGGGCCGTCTCACAACTCGGGTCCCGCGGAGACCACAATTCCCGGCATTCGCGGGATGGGGAGGAGGCGGCCTCCCGGAATCCTGGTTCCGGCGTGCACTTCTGGAGGACTTCAAGTACCAGCGTGCCCTGCGTCCTACTGTCCGCTTACTCGCGTCCTGGGTGCCGCCTCTGAGTAGGGCGGGCGAGGAGGCAGCCGAGGCGGAGCTGATGGCTGCGCTGAGGGCGGGGCGGGGTGCAGGCTGGATCCTCCGGGCATGGCGGGCTTTGGGGGGTATTCGCTGGGGGAAGAGACCCCTGTTGACCCCTGACCTCCGGGCTCTGCTGACGTCAGGAACTTCTGACCCCCGGGCCCGAGTGACTTATGGGACCCCCAGTCTCCGGGCCCGGTTGTCTGTTGGGGTCCCTGAACCCCGAGTACGTCTGACGTCTCGGACCCCGGATCCTCGGGAACAACTGACTGCGGGGACCCCAGATACCAGGACCCAGGAGGCCTCTGGGAACTCTGGAAGCCGTTCGCGCGCGTGGCTGGCGGTGGCGCTGGGCGCCGGGGGGGCAGTCCTGTTGTTTTTGTGGGGCGGGGGTCGGGGTCCACCGGCCGTCCTCGCCGAAGTCCCTGGCCCGCCTCCCACCTCTCCCCGGAGTCAGTACAACTTCATCGCAGATGTGGTGGAGAAGACAGCACCTGCCGTTGTCTATATCGAGATCCTGGACCGGTAATGGTAGGGGTAGACCAGGAGGCACTGAAGCCACGGGCCGGAGGGCGGGCGGGTAGGAGGGGTCAGAGCTTCCTCTTATCCGTGCTTTCCCTCCATTCCAGGCACCCTTTCTCGGGCCGCGAAATCCCTATCTCGAACGGCTCAGGATTCGTGGTGGCTGCCGATGGGCTCATTGTCACTAACGCCCATGTGGTGGCTGATCGGCGCAAAGTCCGTGTGAGACTGCTTAGCGGCGACACGTATGAGGCCATCGTCACAGCTGTGGATCCCGTGGCAGACATCGCAACGCTGAGGATTCAGACTAAGGTAGGGTCTTAGGTAGGCCAGTTCTGGTTGGAGCCGCTTATTTGCTCGCATCTCCAGATGACAGGTCTCTTATACCCATTCTCCCTTAGGATCCTCTCCCCACGTTGCCTCTTGGATGCTCATCTGAGGTCCGTCAAGGGGAGTTTGTTGTTGCCATGGGAAGTCCCTTTGCACTGCAGAACACGATCACATCCGGCATTGTTAGCTCTGCTCAGCGTCCAGCCAGAGACCTGGGACTCCCCCAAACCAATGTGGAATACATTCAGACTGATGCAGCTATTGATGTGCGTCCTGATAGGAAAGAAATGACAAATGATGGGGGAGGGGGAAGAGGCTTTGTGGTACAAGCACCAACTGATACATGTTGGATGATACTATATACAGACCTTAGGCTGCAAAAATGTGGCCACTCATTCATGGGCTGAGAAAGAAGAAAATTTGGAGAAAGCACCTACATCCTGGTATGCCCCCAGACTTAGAATCGCCAGATCTCTTTCATGTTTTGTCCTTATTCTGCAGTTTGGAAACTCTGGAGGTCCCCTGGTTAACCTGGTGAGTGGGACATCCTTCCTTCCAAGAATCCCTGCCCCAGGTCAGTGTGGGAAGGGTGGTTTTTCCCTAATTCAAAGCCGTTTGGTCAAGTTTCTGAGCAGTTCTTTATTGGCTATCTATCTTTCAACATCCAATCAGATTTCCCCAACACTTGATGCTACTTTTGTTCAGGTGCCCCCATCCCCTACTATCTGTTTGGGCTAGGGAACAGGGGGCTCTGTCCCTGCAGGATGGAGAAGTGATTGGAGTGAACACCATGAAGGTCACAGCTGGAATCTCCTTTGCTATCCCTTCTGATCGCCTTCGAGAATTTCTGCGTCGTGGGGAACAGGAAAGTGAGCCTGGCTTATGGGGAAATGGGTTCCTTTAAAATGATGGGTGGGAAATAGGCGAGGGGCATTCATTGGGACTTGCTGAAGGGTGGTCTATTGGGAGAGGAGGGTAGGGGAAGGAAGGATGTAGCTGGGTGGGACTCATTTGTCCCTCTGTCACAGATTCCTCGTGTGGAATCAATGGGGCCCGACACTGCTACATTGGGGTGATGATGCTGACCCTGACTCCCAGGTATGAGCTTTAGGGATAGTGACATGTAATGTAACCAGTGTAATCAGAGGTGGGCCCCTGGCACCTCTGTTGAGCTTTGTTCTCATTTCTGTCGTTATCTAAAATGAACTGCATCACACTTGGAACAATCACAAGAGCTGTCCCCCTTCATCATCTTGACTTTCTTATCCCACTCCACTTTGCACACCTGTCACCAGATTTATTTCATCCTGTTACTGCTTTGATTTCAAGCCTTCAATCCATTAACTTGGCATTTAAGGGCCATTTTCCATCTGTCTAATCAACTTTCTAGACCTGGCTGTTAAACCTTCTTATATGAATACTCAGCCAACTTGATTTCCTATTCCCATGTTGTTTTATTTATGCTGTTCTTGTTTTATATGGTTAATATCACATCCATCCTTTTATAGGCTCAGTTTCTTTCTCCTTAAATCTTCTCTTAGCATTCTAGAGTGACATTAATGCTATTGATTTAACAGTGTTTGTCATTTGGTGCCCTCATGTGGTGTACATCTTTTATGTACATGTTGCTCTTAACTGCTAGAAGACAGAAAGTGAGTGGCCATTATATTTTGTAGTACCTAGCGCATGTCCTGTCCATACATTTGTCAATGTGTTGATGAGAGACTTGAGGTGAACTCAGGATGGGGAGAATGCCTAGGTCTGGCTAATAGGGTGATCTGTGTACTTTCAGCATCCTTGCTGAACTACAGCTTCGAGATCCAAGGTTTCCCGATGTTCGGTATGGTGTACTCATCCATAAAGTCATCCTGGGCTCCCCTGCACACCGGTGAGGGAGAGGCTTCAGTGTGAGATGGGGATGGGCGAGGTGTGCATGTGTCCTTGAACTGGGCTTTCTATTCCTTCCTTTCTCTCTGTCCGTTTTTCTCTGTAGGGCTGGCCTGCGGCCTGGTGATGTGATTTTGGCCATTGGGGACAAGGTGGCACGTAGTGCTGAAGATATTTATGAAGCTGTTAGAACCCAACCCAAGATGGCATTGCGGATCCGGCGGGGACGAGAAACACTGACCTTATATGTGACCCCTGAGATCACAGAATGAACAGATCAGCAAGAGTATGAGGCTCCTACTCTGATTTCTTCCTGCCTTCCTGGCTGAGGCTTGAGGGCACCGGGACAGAGGGTTAAATGAACCAGTGGGGGCAGGTCCCTCTAACCACCAGCACTGATTCCTGGGCTCTGAAGAATCACAGAAACACTTTTTATATAAAATAAAATTATACCTAGCAACATATTATAGTCAAAAATGAGGTGGGAGGGCTGGATCTTTTCCCCCACCAAAAGGCTAGAGGTAAAGCTGTATCCCCCTAAACTTAGGGGAGATACTGGAGCTGACCATCCTGACCTTCCTATTCAAGACAGTGAGCTGTTGCCATCTTTTGTTGTGGGCAGTTAGTCAGGTGCTGCTGTTTCTGGTGTGGTGTGCTCTGCTCTGCTCGGTGCTGGGCCTGGGAGCAAAGATTCCCCATGCTTGGCCACAGATACTGACAGCTGGCCTCTGAAGGAGGGTGATAAGTTCTGCTTGACAGTTCCACATCCATAGTGCATGGTCCAGTGAGTGCGGTTGCTGACATGGGTTCCTTGGTAAGCTCCTGAGGTAATGGCAGCCTCAGACCCCTGCCATTAAGGGCCAGTGGTGGTTTGCAGAGGGTGGTAGCACTTAGATAATCTGGTTGCTGGTCTGGCCAGGGTAGCGCTCAAACCTCCTGTTGGCCTCTTCACTGAAGGCATCACCTGCAGATTGGACAGGCAATTTGGGAGATGTCCTGCACAGAGGGAGGCAGAGACCCACTGTGGAGAAGGGTGGGTAGAAGTAGAGGGACTGAGAACTCCAGAGGAGGGTAGAAAGATACAGAAACAAGTTACAGAAAAAGAGAATGAACATTTTTCCCTCCCATCCCCTAATCTTCCTGGGTTGCTCTTCCCATCAAATACCGATGTGGCAGTTGTGCACCCAGATGCGATGTCCATCATATTTGCAGTTACATTTCATTGCATTGTTGGTGAAGTCACTCTCTGCTACTTCAAAATTTGGGTTGATGACTACCTGTGAGCGAGAGAAAGGTCACTTAACCCAGTGACAATCCTCAAATCCAAAAGTGTCTTTAACACTTTTCCCACTCATCCGTCTGGAAGCCGCAGACTCCAGGTACCTGGAGAATGTAGTTTCCTGGCTTCACATCTGTGATGTCAATCCATTGACAGTCAATGTCATGCCGGTAGAGATCCCAGCAACCCACAGTGATGCCTTGCTCTCCAAAGTTGGCACACTCATACCTCTTGGAGACATCTAGAGGGATTCGCATGTGTCAGTCTAAGGAAGGGCTATGCGATGGACACCATGTAGTCCACTTCAGGCCCCTACTCACCCTCCTGGCACTCAGTGTCTTCCAGGCAGAAACTAGCTTTGTGGCCCTCAGCCACCTTGGTGCCATTTGGGGTGAGGATATCGTAGTGAGTGAAGATGTCCATGCTGTGGTAATGCCTGTGGGGACAAGGAAACTTCTGTTTCCTTCTCTGCCCCCAAAAGGTTTGTACCATCCCCCGTGGCCTTGCCCTTCTATTTGACTCCCTACCCTCTCACCCATGGCACTCGTGCCACACCCAGGAGTGGCGCCCAGCCTTGGGCCTAAAGTCAGCTCGTCCCAGGTTGTGGATCTGGGAGGAGAATCGGAGTAGACGCCGGTGACCATAGGGCCAGTTGGCTGAGCGGGCTGAGCTGGCCAGGCAGTTCTCTTCTGCAGCACAGTACAACATATGCAGGGGCCGGTCTTCAATATAGGCGGTCTCCTGCACCAGTGCTGAGTGCAGCAGCAGATCTGATGCAGCTGCACCAAGAAAGGAAGGGGGTGTTAGAAGTCACTGCTGACTTCACAGAGTGGGGTGCTTCCATCCCTCCCTGGCGTGTGAGACTGGTTTTCTATGGGAAAGGAGTGCCCCTCCAGATTACAGCCCTCTCTCTCCCTGCAAAGGGGTGGCCCAGAGCCTCCCTTCCCTGGCTTGCATCATCCCCTCCTTCACTCACTCTCAGAACAGATGACTCCAGCAGTGAAGCGGGTCCCTGTCCTCTTGCAGGTGAGGTGGGTGCCATGATGGGTACACTGGTCCAGGGACAGCTCAGTCCCTGTGCAGCGTACTCCACTCATCACCACTTCTGTTATATTCCCAGAGTCCCAGTACCAGGTCTCCTGGGGACATACGCAGATGTTTCTCTAAGGCCCAGGATCCAGCATCTTGGGCCAAGAGACTCCTTCCTCAGTCCTCAGCCCAAAACTCAGGCTTTGAGACAACAGCCTCGGCTCCCTCTCCTTCACACTCACCTGCAGACCGTGGTTGGCGTAGCCCAGACCCAGTTGTCTACAGGCCACCATGGCCTCCAGGGTCCCCCAGTCATCCCCACAGATGAGGCCCCAGCGAAGGGATCCAGGTCCCCCTATTTGCACCTCGACTCGCCCCTCATGTTGGCTGCGGCCCCCACTGAGTCGGATCTGTAGTGACACAGAATGGAAGCGCTGGAGGAAGCTTTGGGGTGAGGTGGTGGGAGTTGGTAGCATAGATGTGGCTGAAGCATGACTTAGAGGTGCACAATGGACTAGCAAGTGATGGGTCAGGTGGGAGCTGCAGGATGGCAGGGGTCTGGGGCAATGGGCTGGGGGCCATCAGGCTGCAGATTGGAGGCCAGGACTGGATAGGATTAAAGAGACACCTCAGCCAAGGTTGAGAGTATGACTGACCCTGGTCTCCACCCCAGTGTAAGGTAGGTTGCACCGGACCCCGGCATCCTGGCTATGTGAACAATCCTCAGCTGTGATGTTCTTGTGGGGGCACTTCCAGAGGGAGAGCTCCTGTCCAGAGCAGCGCACTTCACTCAGGTGGATAGCACCCATGCCTAGGGCCAGAAGGCAAAGATCAGGAAGTTGTAACTAAGCATATATGTCTGCCCAGGGGACTCCTAACCCTCCCAAGGAATGTGCCCCCCAGGAGCGTGTACCTCCTTCCCCCTCCCTCCCACCTCCATGCTGCCTCACCCTGCCCCATGCGAGCGCCACTCAGGGCTTCTCGAGCACTCCCGAAGCCCAGCTCCCGACACACCACGCTGGCTGCATGAAGGTCCCACTTGCGGTCACAGACTGTGCCCCATGTGCTGGCCTTTAGGACTTCCACCCGGCCCTCTCCAGGGTGGGCCCCACCTTTCAGACGGACACGGCCCTATAGAAGAGAGAAGTGCCCAACAGAGGTGAGTAGCAACATCTGCATAGAGAGGCTAAGCAGACTCGGGAGATGAGTGAGACTTTGGTGGGAGGGAGTGGGTATCAGGTCTGTGGCCCGCCCCCTGGAAGGCTCCTCTCCTCACAGGTCAGGGCTATGCTTACTCAGGGGTTGCCAGGCTAGGGGTTCTCCACCTGGGGTGGGAAAGGTCATAGTCACTGTCTCACACACCTCCCCCTGAGGCTTCGACTGTTGTTGCTTCTTCTGGCCACTGGACGGTGCGTAGAGAGGGCCTGGCACACAGCTCACCACCGCAGGGGCCCCCCCAGGGCACCTGGTGGTGTCATTGGCACGATAGAACTCCAGGGAACAGAGGGAGAGGTGGGCTTCTGTGCCCACGCACGTCACCCCATGCAGACCAAAGGAGTGTTGCTGCCGCTGGGCCAGCAGCCTAGGAGGACAGGAGTGAGTTGCAGTAGGGTAAAACAATGCTCCTGCCTCTTGGCCCCACAACCCTCCTCCCACTTCATGCCTCTACCATGCCCCCAACCCTTTTGTGACCATTTATCCCCTCTTCTTCCCTCTTTTGTGTTTCCCTCGGCAGAGACAAAGGGATTGCTGAGTTTCCAGGCTGAGGGAGCCTCAACTACCCAGACAGGAGCATCCTTGGGGACCTCCTACAGCAGAACAACCCTAAGGGAAGAATGGCTAGTCTCGACTTGGTTTCAGCCTGCTGGCTCTAAAGGACGCTGAGGCTAAGGCTTCAGGGAATGGGAAATCAGGACTTTCCAGTTGGAAGAAATGGTCAGGAGGGAGTGGCTGACACAAACAGGAACCCTGAAAAGCGAAGGCAAGCAAGTCCTTGTGTGATGCTGAGACCAGAATAACTGAATGAGTCAGGATGCAAAGGACTGAGGAAGTCTCCCATCTACATGGCTCCGCAGAGGCCAGAGACTCTGCAGGACAGATTGGAGGGGCAGACACAGCAAGGACAGACCAGCAGGTAGACACAGGAAAACTGGGACTGGCATATGCAAGAATGAAGATGTATAAATGCAGGACAGGTCAAAGTTTGAGGGAATACACGACCAGAGAAAGAAGGTGGATGTAAACAACAAAATGGCAAAGACATCTCAGGACCTGAGCTGTGTTAAGTCTTTAAAAAGGTTGTCCATGTTTCTGCAATTTGAACATAACAGTGTCCTAAAGCCATCTGAATAGGATAATATGACTGAACTATAGATGCTAAAGTTTGGAAATGCTGGCAAGATGTTTGAGAGAATGGAGGGACTTGTTTGTCCACACCAGTGGAATGAGAAACTGCAATGAGGCATGTGGAGGAGAGTAGTACACTCAGCCCAGAACAGCTGGGTTAGGTCCGCAGAGGAAGGGAAGATGAGCTCTGGGGTTGGTGGAATTAGCCTGTGAGGCTGATGTGGTCATGCATTATCGCAGTACTGTGCTCTATCACTTGATGTCAGAGGAAGGACGGAATATGATGACTTGAAGCCATTGGCTAGGAAGACACAGAAGGAGGAAACATTTATAAACAAAACAAAGGAAGCCTGTGGAGTTTACAGAATACCTTTAGAAGCTCAGGATAAATGGATCCTGAAGATCTAAGAGATCAGACATTCTCACAGAGTCCTGTTGTTTGGCTGAAAGTGAAAGTCAACAAGGCCATCACAGGAAGAAGACATCTATCTTCTAAACATCTTCATGTCCTTTGTCTACAATGAACAAAATAAAAATGGCACTGTGTGCTTTAATGTGGGGGTCGGAGAAGGCTGGAGTATGGTCATGTTGGGCAAAGATGATCCTAAGCTAGTAGGGCACTACAAGAACATCCCCAAATTCCTGAGATCCTTTGAAACCACCAGAGCGAGAAGCTGGGGAATGAGGGCTATCAGGGGACCACTGGGTGAGACTAGTACTTGTTGAGGACAGGAGGTGAGAAAGGGATGAATTCTCAATACTTCAGTCCCTGTTGAAGTTATCATAGAGGTTTTTAATGTGCAAACTG